TCAGTGTTTAGATAGTTCACTTTAGTGTAGGTTATCTCAGTGGGTCTCAAACGGTTTGGTCACCATTTAAGTAATTATTTTCGAGGAATACCTTTATATGATCATTATAGTTATTAAAGAGAGAATAAATGAAAAACGGGTATGAAATACTATAGGACAGTAACACAAGAATACAGTTTAAAAGGGGAATGATTAGTAAAATATCCATAAAGAAAAAGTACGCGTTGCGTTGGTGTTTGTGTGTTGGTTGTTGACGGCAGTGTGTGCCCCCCCTTGGTAAATGATTGCCCCCCCATTCGATTTGTTCTAGAGCCGACCCTGCACCAACATACTGTACCACACACACCTAGCCACTGTACCACACACACTTACAGCTCCTAAAGCATAATCAGGCTACAGCCGTTGTGTATTTTATTATGTGAAGCACTAAATGGTCTTAGAAAAATATCGACTCTTTGTTTGTAGTTATCTACTAAACTACAGCAAATAAAGAGAGTAGGCCTGTTGTACTCAGTGATATATATTATACACACTGCTCTGCTTTCTGCACGGACCTCACAGCTGTTCTCACTGTAAACATCGCGACACGATGAAAGCAGTTTCTAAAATAATATCCAGAGGATGCATGCAGAGCTGTCATTGGCTGAGATAAGTCCGGCCGTGTGTCACGCCTCCACCGTTCCCGGAAATGCATCCGCGGAGGAGCCGTGGAGGAACCATCAGTGTATCCTCGGTTATAGCTCCTCCAGAGAGCCTCCTCGACGCTCGATGCTCGGTCCTCGAAGTGCATTTAGAGAAATTAGATGTCCTTTAAAAGTCCTTTTGAGTATTGAGAAGCCTCTAGTGTCATGTGAACTACAATGCAAGTGTGTGGCGTCTTTTATTCCTCCGTAGTATTAGTCCAAGGCTATCTAGATCTTTGCTGGTAATGGCTGCTGCGCCAACAATATATATTATACACACTGCTCTGCTTTCTGCACGGACCTCACAGCTGTTCTCACTGTAAACATCGCATCGCGATGAAAGCAGTTAATAAAATAATATCCAGGGGACGCATGCATGCAGAGCTGTCATTGGCTGAGATAAGTCCGGCCGTGCGTCACGACTCTTTGAAACATCTCTGTTCCCGGAAATGCATCCACGAAGGAGCCGTGGAGGACCCATCACTGATGGGTCTGGAAGTGCTGGAATTGGGCCGGTACTCACCGGTACGCAGTACCGGCACTTCTGGTTCTGACCCATGGAGTACCGGCACTTCTTGCTCAGTACCGGCATGCTGGCGGTACTCCGGTACTCATGCACCGTGCCAGTACTCAACACTCTCCCGCCGTTCTTATTATACATCCATATATATACAGCCGCCCGGTACTCAGTAGATGCGTCATGAGGTGCCGAACGGACATTCTCATCGCTCTAACCGCTGGAGTTTCACAGCGGCTGTCAGCTGTTTACTCCTGTCATTCAAACAGAACGTGCTGGAGAGGGGGCGGGGCTTATCTTCTCCATGTAAATACTGTGGTGGAAACGACTATGTCAAAATTAACCTATTTGACCGTGATTTAATAGTAATACACGTTTCAAAATAATAATAATAATAATAATAATGCCGAAGTAACAACATACTGAAAACTGTTAGTAAAACCATGTTTTAATGCTTTACAATTTAGATACCTAGATGCACGTGTGTTGTGTTTATGTAGTGCAACTCCCACCCAGTGGGTGGCTATGTAGAGTGATAGAACAGAGCAGGCACGCCCCCGAGAGAAGGAAAGCAAGTCACGTCACAAATTAGCATTTCTAAAATGTTAGCGTGGATTAATAAAAGTGCAAAAAGACAGCGGTTGTCGCCGGAAGAAACTTCAAATACAGAGAATGCTGTGCCTGTGTTGGAAATTGTGTCTGATGGGGAGCTTTCTTTGGTTGATCCTCCTGCTCCAAGTTCTAGTGCATTGGCATTAGCACTAGCTCCGCCGCCTCCTCCGGAGCCTCTAACGTTAGCTGCTGCTGGCTAAACTGCCACCACCAACACCGGGCAAAGCGATGCACCTGACTGCTGGACAACGGACCAGGTGCAATATTTTTGCAAGACCAATGCATGGCTCCTTCTTAAAGATAAGAAGCTAGGATGTCGGATTTGCAGAGATGTCAAATCTTTGGGAATACACACTGGACAAGGACTGAAACTGTCAACTGAATGGGGTGAGTGTGCAGTGTCTCATTTCGGTGTTGACAAGGGCAAACAACAAGCTAGCCTGAGAAAAAAAATCAAAGAACATAAAGAATCACAAGCCCATGTAAAAGCTGCTGATATCCTTACATCTGCTTCACGTGAAACTATTCAACATCAAGTGCAGTCTATGCATAAATCTGAATTAGACACCACTATCAGAGTTTTTCGAACGGCATATAAAATTGGCAAACATAGCCGGCCATTCACAAACATGCCAATTGATTTGAATGTACAGAAACTGAATGGGCTGAACGTGGGCAGGGTTTTGCACTCCAATAAAACCTGTGGCGAAATCATCGACCACATAGATCATGAGCTGAAGAAAAAAATGGCAAAAGACATTACAGAAAACCAAAGAAAACTCTGTGTTTTGGTCGATGAATCTACCACTATTAGTGGTAAAACGGTGCTTGTTGTGTGTCTACGCTCAGCATTAGCTGATGCTGAGCCCGAAACGTTTTTTTGGGAGCTGATCGAGTTGGATGGAACAACGGCTGATGACATCACAAAGGCGTTAATGGAGTGTCTTGGAAGAGATTTTAACGAGGACTTTTTAGGTCAGTGTTTCGTTTCTTTTGCATGTGATGGGGCTTCAGTCATGCTAGGGAAGAGAACAGGCGTTGCTACCCAGTTGTGTAGTAAATTCCCAAGCCTGTTTGTGTGGCACTGCTCCAATCATCGTCTAGAGCTGGCAGTTGGGGATGTGGTCAATGGAGGTCTCAGGGCTCAATCATTTCCAGATCTTTTTTGACAAACTCTATTCCTTGTTCCATGCCTCCCCCAAAAATCAGAGGCAGTTAGCGCAGTGTGCGCAAGCAATCGGACAGCGTCTCCTGGTGATAGGGCGTGTTTTGTCCATCCGCTGGGTGGCTTCAAGTGAAAGGAGCGTCAGAGCAGTCTGGGAAAACTACCGAGTGCTTCATGATCACTTCACAAATGCTGCAAACGACACGAGCAGGGATTCCAGAGACAGAGCAAAGTACAAGGGCCTGGATGATGTGCTCACATCTGCAACGTTTGTCAGCAATCTGGGACTGATGTACGATGCGCTCACAGAGCTCAGCGACCTCTCTCGGCAACTCCAAAAAAGAGAGATGACACTGCCTACAGCAGATAGGCTCTTAACTCGAGAAATACGAGTTTTTGAATCCATGGTCACCATGCCTGGCCCACACATGACTCATACAGCTCTAGCTGAGAAGTCCTTCAAGGGTGTTGCCCTGCGTGAGAATGGCAGGCTTGTACAGATTCATGCAGGTCAGTTTTTCCGCAGTATGGTAGAGAATCTGAGACACAGAATGACTTCCACAACCTCCTCTCATGTCAGCACAAGAGAAATCCCATTACATGGCCGGGAGGCCCGGGACAATCAGCTAATCCAGGACATGAAAGTTATCCATCCTGGAAGTTGGCCTGAAGAGGAGTTAGACGTACAGTATGGGGACGTAGAGGTGCTACATTTGTGCGAAGTGCTGAAAGTGGACAGAAGAGAGACTGTTCAGGGCTTTCGCGAATACAAGGAAACCAGGGCATCTCGTACACCTGCTGCCATGGAGCCTCTACTGAAAGCAGTCCGAACCATCGCTGTCTCCACTAGTGAGTGTGAGCGGGCATTCAGCTGCATGAACGATATCCTTACTGCAAAAAGGAATGCTCTCTCTGTCAGCCGACTGTCCAGCCTGGTTTTCATTAAATGTAATGGACCATCACTAGGACAGTTCAATCCGGAACAGTATGTGAGGTCCTGGCTGGCAAAGGTAAGGAGAAGTGCTGATGAAAGAGCCTGTCCAGCTCCAGCCCCTGATACTGATGTCCCCAAGGCCTTCTGGAGCCTTTTCTAACAATGTGAAGTATATTGCAAAGCAGCTCACCCAGTGAGAAGACTTTTGGCATAATGTGCCGATTTGTACAGATCCTGGAGATAGAAGGACTTCAGACCAACCAGGGAGTTATCTGATCAGCTTGGTGTTCAATGTAACTCTTTACCATGGCTCAGACTTTGTTACTTGCAGTTACAGTTTCTCATTTTAGATTGTGCAAATTTTGCATTTGTTTTTACATGTTCTTTGTTCATGCTCTTTATCATTTTTCTGAGTTGGAAAGTTAGATTGCATCATAGTTTACTTTATACATATTTGTATTCTTCAGTGGTGAAGTATATTGCAAAGCAGCTCAGCCATGTGAGAAGACTTTTGGCACTTTTTCGTTTTTCGTTTTCTGAGTTGGAAAGTTAGATTGCATTCAAAATGTACAGAAATACTTAATTTTGTTAAAGCTTTTTATAAAAAATGCTTCTGACCAGAGCTTTGTTTCCTTGTCATTAATGTTGAACACCACCAGAGGGGCTCTCACCTGAAAGGTCTCTGCTTCATGTGTCTTCAGCAGAAGATCTAGACTTTGATTGCTATATTTTCAGTTAATATTGACCTTACTGAGCTTTAGCCATATCCGCTGCCTATCATAAAAAATGTTAAGTACAGTGAACCTTTCTAAAATATACAGTAGTAAAGAGACAAACCCACCAGCATTATAGTAGCCAAATTCTTGTTTGTGGGCTGTATATATAAAATTGACTTGAAAAAGTTGCTGATTTTAGAGTACTGGCACCTTTTTCATTCCAATTCAAGCACTGCCCATCAGTGTATCCTCGGTTATAGCTCATCCAGAGAGCCTCCTCGATGCTCGATCCTCGGTCCTCGAAGTGCATTTAGAGAAATGAGATGTCCTTCAACATGGCGCACTGAAATTCATTTTCGGGTCACTACCAGAGGACCGAGGAGTCGAGGAGGGGGATTTGATGAAATGAGAAAGGGCAATGGTGATACACACTCTGTACAGTAGGTGGCGGTATGCACCTTAAAGTTGTTTGCAATCCGCCTTTAAATCGACAGAAGAAGAAGTGATGCACCGGAAGTGATGGTCTCGCTCTTTCTAATGGAACCAGATCACGTCTCGTGGCTTCTCTCGGTTCTCTCGCTACATCCATGGTTCTCTCTCGGTGTTCCTGAGGAAGTGTGTGTGAGCAGCTGATCCGTCCATCGTCTGTGTGTCTGGATGAACCTCTGACTTTGTGCTCTTTCTTCTGAAGCCTTTAGCTCGGACTCTAGAAGCTAGCTTAGCATGCTAGCTGGTAACACGCTAGCAACACAGAGTGAGAGAAACGGGAAGTGGTGATTTAGTAAACATGAGTGTTGTCCTGCTCTCGTTGGTGAAGCAGCGACTCACTGCGGCTGCTGAAGACATCTTTGTTCTGTTTGAAAGAACGATAGCAGAGTACGAGGAGGAACTGTCTCGTTCAAAACAGGAGAACGAGAGACACCGGAAACTACTGGACGCTGTTTTACAGCCTCAGCTTCAGATCCACAGAGCAGGTCTGTTCCCTCTTTATTCACTCTCTCTCACTCGTTAGACTCTGTATTAACTCGTTAGACTCTTAATAGCTGTCTCTGCCGCCTGACGCTCTAATTATACCGTTTTTTGATGAACATAAATATTGTTTTTCTGGCATCACTTTAACATTTTATGGGGGAAATCTACATTTTGGTATGAGGGTGCATGCTGAGAGTAAGAGGGTGCAGCGCCCCTGTTACCCAGTTTAGAGAAAACCCTGTGTGATGGAAACTTCTGAAGTAATTGGAAACGGGACTCTCATACCTCATTCACACCAACGGTGTTTCAGGGCCGGTTCGGAGCTGGAGCTTGAAAAGCACCGGGTTTTCCTCTTCACACCGCAGCGGAGCAGCCTCTTAGCTCCGGAATCCGGTTCGTTTCAAGCACCAAAAAATTGTCCGGCCAGAGCAAAAGCACCACATACGTCACGCTTACGTCGAGGCGGGGGCAGGCCAGGGGCAGAGACAGATCAACTCCTGAAAAACAACAAAAAGCCTGCGTTTTATCCAGTTTGTATACAACGATGGAGAAACTTAACAAGAGTTTCAGTGTTTCTGCCATAGACTGTATATATAAAGGTTTCTGCTCATGGTGAAGCAACGTGTCTGCGTGTTAAGGTGGAACCTGAGCATTCACGTTGATCACCTCATTATAAATCTATAAAACTATAAATATTCAACTTTACTCCACGTGTTCATTTTAGAACAGCTGTTACATACCTGGGTGAAGGTTACAGTTCATTTAAATGAAAGATACAACGTTACTCCACACTCATGGTTCAGTCCACCTTAAGAAATAAGACCGACCTCGGAAACAGTTGTGTTTTAAAAAAACCTTTATTGACACGAGTACACTTTTTTATAAGAATATAACTAAACCACAGAAATGACTCCGGAAAAGCTGCAGATAGAGCCATAAGAAATGAATGCAACTGATTTAATCCGCGCGGTTTGGCTTTATGAAGCAGGCACGCAAACGGTTACGTCATGACGCAAACGATGACGCAACGACGCATTACCAGTCGGACTCTGGGCGGTGTGAAAAGAGCCAGAGCTAAACCGAAGAACTAGTTCTGAACCTGAAAAGCTCTAGCACGGAGCTTGAACCGGAGTTGCATTGGTGTGAGACACGGGGAAAGCAGGAGCTTTGATGGCAAACACTGACGGTTTATTTGGAGTTTCGGCCGGAGAATTCACAAGACATGTCACGAGCCATGAGTTGACACAACGGATTCCAAACCAATTCTGAGGATCTCTACCCAGACCCATGTATTTAGCTGGTTCTGAGAGAATAATCAACATTGTGCATAACAAGATAAAACCATAACACCTCTATCAGCTGACGCCAACAGGCAGGAACAGGGAGACAAACTGAGAGCACAGCAGCCAAGCTACAGGTGCGTGTGCTCAGTGAGGTCAGTACAAGCTGATAAACTGGGTCACAGTTATGGGCCTAAGAAAATATTTCCCCAACAGTTCTTCCCTTTTTTATCAATTTTGATAAACAAAACCTACCCCAATAATACATTTGTTCGGAATCCCTAATAAATTAGATTCTTTGGAAATGGTGTTGGCATTTTGCATATTGTGTGACACGCTACAAAAAAGTACTTGCTGAGATCAAAAACTCTGTTGAAAAATAATGTGGTTTAATGAAAACTGGAATGATCCACTTATTCTCCTTGGACATGCACAATAGCCGCGTTCACACCAAGTACTTTGCAGTACATAGTTCCTAGCACTTAGTTCCCCTATGGAACTAAGAGCCGATCGCGTTCACACCGGAGTACTTTTCCCTGAGGGAAGATTACGCAAATGAAGCCGCTGACGTCACTTCTTCTTCTGCTTTGGGTTTACTGGCAGGCCGCAAACAACTTCACGGCTTATATTGCCACCCGAAGTCCCGGGCCGGAAGTCCCTGGAGTTGGGGGAGGCTCCTGAAGCCTTCCGAGTAAATCGCCACAATGCCGACACCTCCTCATCTCCACCGCTCCCATGTTTTATTTTGTGTTGCCATAAGTTAATCTCTCTGCATTTGTGCGCTGGGTGAATGCTAATGCTAATAATGCTAATGCGAGGATAATAAAATGGCGGCTCTACAAAACATTTCAGAGTTTTACGGGGCGTGGTTTGCAATTCGCCCAGCCAATCAGAACTGGGGCACTTTTTTCCCCCAGGAGAGTACCACCTCTCAGCAGGCACAAAAAATGGGGGTACAATTTCCCTAAGTACTCTTTTTGGTGTGAACGCGACATAAGGGGTACTAACGGAACTAAACGGGAAAAGTACTCCGGTGTGAACGCGCCTATTGTTATATTAATCAAAGCAATCATTTCAACTTGTGGTCAACAAACGACCCTGTGTCACCCTCTGCTCCACACACACCTCACGTAGGTGAACAGGATTATAATGAGTGCGCCCATATCCATGTGACCCAAGCCAACCAATCAATAGTGCTCGAACAAATATCGTATATTAACGTGGACCTATCATGCTATATTTGAACAATATATTGTAGGGCCATACCTATATAAATATAGTTTTTTTTTTTTTTTTTTAAATACCAAACAGATCCTGCATTTTAGCCATGCCTCATTTCGCTCCATTTGCTCTTTTCCAGCCCTGATTTTGCAGGGGCTGATTCTGTGACGTAGCTTTAATGCAAATGAGGAGGAGAGGGGAGCATGCTTTGAGATCAACTGCTGGGCTCAGCTGCTGGGCTCTCAGAAGAGGGGGAGAAAAAGAGATCTCCGTCCTCCGTGTTTTATTCTTATATTATTATATAGTCATTATTCATTTGTTTTAAAGCTCAATAAATAACAAAGAAGACCTTTGACCAGCACTTTTCTAATTTTGTCTGGAAGATTTAAACTTTAACGGACATGTTGACCGGTGAACAAAACCTAACTGAAACTCTGCCGCACGGTCCCCTCGTTCCTTGGAAGAGGCGGAGAGGTGGGTGTTTGTCATCTGCTTGTGGACTAACCGGAGAGAATTACAGTGCTGGCCTCGATGGGGAGGGATTGCATTGAATTACAGCTGCAGGAGCAAACGCTTGCCTCGGGGAGGGAGAAAAAAAGCCACAGCGGAGAATAAACAGAAGGGAAACCATGTGCGGGAAGTCTTCTTCTTCGCTGCTTTTGTGGCAGACTACAGCGCCACTTACAGGCCTGGCATATGTACTACAGCTCCAGCGCTTTCGAGTGGCAATGGCCGGCCGTGGCCCAACCCCACATTCCCCTGATAGGTGGAGAGTTGGCCATATAGGCGGAGCTCCTCGTTCCTGACGTCAGACAATTTTCAAATCTGTATCAGATCCGTTGCAGCCCCGTTTTTAGAAATTTGGGTATGGAGGAAAAGAGAGGGTTGTATTTTCTGACACTTGGTGAGCTCCCTGACACACCGGGGACACATATTCATGTATAAAAGACGTACAGAAGTGCATTTTGCATGATAGGTCCCCTTTGAAACAAAAGGCATTACTATGTTTCATGGTTCCTACGCAGTCAATCACAATCCTAAAAACTGATCTTCCATCAGTGTTTGGAGTAGGGCTGCACGATATATCGTGTTGTGACGATAATCGTGATATGCGATATTCACATCGCGTGGACACGCAATTATAAAAAAAAAGTAGGCAAATTAACTCAAACACGTCATTTTGCTGCTTGCTACAAAAGGAAAACTTGCGCAGCTCTCATGTCAGGGGTACTTGAGTGAGTGACAGCAAACCACCAATCACAATCAAATCTCCAAAGCAAACGCACCCGATGATTAAAGGTAGAAACACTGAATAAAGTAGTTTCATGTGTTTCTCCAGGGCAGTTCGGCACTGCTAACCGAGCTAGCTCAGCTTGTTGCTATGATAAATTAAGATCCAGACGTCCGTGACTAAAATCCATCATCCGGTTAAATATAGTTAAAAAAATACCAAATGTATAGCATTAAAGTTCAAGAAAGGATGGTTTCCGGGGGAAAAAACGGTATTTTCTTCAATTCCTGTATGTTTTCATATCGCAGGGGGGGGGAAATCTCAATGTCAGTTTTTTCCAATATCGTGCAGCCCTAGTTTGGAGCATCTTTTTCCAAAGGTATAACAATTAAAGGGGACCTATAATGCAAAATGCACTTCTGTACGTCTTTTATACATGAATATGTGTCCCCGGTGTGTCAGGGAACTCACCAAGTGTCAGAAAACACAACCCTCTCTCTTTTCCTCCGTACCCAAATCTCTAAAAACGGATCTGATACAGATTTGAAAATTCTCTGACGTCAGGAACGAGGAGCTCCGCCTATATGGGCAACTCTCCACCTATCAGGAGGAGACAGCCACTGCCATTACCGTTCGAAAGCGCTGGAGACGCTGTAGTACATATGCCAGGCCTGTAGGTGGCGCTGTAGTCTGCCACAAAAGCAGCGAAGAAGACTTCTCACAGATTCAGCCCTTGCTAAAACAGGGCTAAAAAAGAGCAAATGGAGCGAAATGAGGCATGGCTAAAATGCAGGATCTGTTTGGTATTTTTTTTTTAAAAACTTCGCAGGCATGTTTTATATAGGTATGGCCCTACAATATATTATTCAAATATAGCATGATAGGTCCACTTTAACATACATGAAATAACACAGGAATATAATAACACAAACCATTTAATCCTAGCTAACTTTATCATGTATTTATCAACTATCAATATTATACATTTGTATGATCAATGTAGTACATTATAGTGTTGCACGGTGTACCGATACTTGAAAGGTACCGCGATACCCTGCCGTTAAAAACGGTACGATTCCTCCGTTTCATTAGTATCGGTACTTTAAGAATGACGGGGAAAAGTACTCCGGTGAGAAAGCGCCGTTTTAATAAGAGCCGTGTGTGTTCAGCGCTCTGCTTCCACTCTCCCTGCACTGCAGCCGTGCCTGCTCTGCAGTCCCTCCCCTCTCAAGCACGCTCTAAGTCCCTCCCCTCTCTCGTGCACGCGGCC